GTAGTTCCCAGGATCCTCATTCCAGCCTTTCCCACTACCCTCATTAGAAACCTGCTTATACTCAGGACATCCTGCACAGACTGTAGAGTCTGCGCCAGTATAATTTCTTGCCATTAATTTTCTCCCTTAGAGCTATATTCACTAGGACATTAGCACATTGCAAATATGCAAATTGATGCACATATATTATTTAAGCATACAGTTCCCACAACTGTTCAAATACTCACATATTAGCTACCTGATTCCTATCTGTTCTGTATTCTGAGATAGTAGAGTCATCTGCTTCCTGGGTAACTGTGAAAAGACCACTAACAAACATGGTATGGCGAGGAAATTTTGAATGCCTCTGAAAATATTTATAACATTTGTCCAAAATTTTCAGAAAAAGGCCTGTAGGATGAAATTAAGCAAGTGCAAATGAGACATGTTGGCTTGCTTTGATGGAGTTTTATGGAGAAAGACCTGGAAAAATTGTGTATGTAACTACATGTATACTTCCACTTTAGAAGTGGGGAAACCAACGCACTTTCAAAACAGTCTCTATTTTTCTGAAAGAAAACAGCTCCACAAGTTATAATGCTGCTCTAAGTACACAAGATTATTGCCATTGGACTACTAAAAACTAACATAAAGCAGGTACTTAGCATAACTAAGATTTTTTTTTAATGCTACAACAGCCATTTGATTACTGGGCACAATGAGCTTAAAAATCCAGTGAGTCTACATATTTAACTTCATAGCAAAACTCCTGCAGTGCCTTTATGCTTTGTACAATTCACAGTTAAACATGCTTTTTTTCTGTCTTTTAACGTTAGAACTTAAATTTCATGTTGAGAAATCCCTTCTGAAGAATGATCAAATGACTGGATGGAACAAATTATGGGAGTTCAGCAGTTCTCCAAAGTATTCACAGAACAAGCTTTTGGCAAGAAACTCCTCTCTTCAACTAGCTATTTACAGACAACACCTGTAAGACTTCTTGCTTAGGTCCATCTCAAACTAAGGACCTATGCCATGGGAATGCTAATCTATTAACTAACTATCTATCTACAGAGATACAGTCTAATGGTCTGAAAAAAAGACCAAAGAGCCAGAAATTTCTGTCTGGTTCTGAAATTCTATTGCTGTATATGTTTTATCTCCCAGTGCCTCAGTTTTCCTGTCTATAAGACAGGGCCAATACAAAACTGCGCGTACGCTACTTTATGTGTTCATTCTGTGAGATAGACCCTATGCCACATCTGAGAACAGCTGGGATAATATTCTGAACGGAAAGCACTACAGAGGTGCAAAAAATAGAACATTTCCGTCCTTTGATCTTATGTCCTCCATTCTGTATTAGCAATAGACAATAATCAAAGCGATGACTTCGGGAAGGTATTTTACTAGGAAAGAGAGACAAAAAAATCTAAGTAAGAAAAGGGAAAACCTCAGCTAAGCAACTACAAAGAGTAGTAGTTTTAATTTTAAAAATTTTTGTTATTTATGCATCATTTTGGGCACCATGAGTACAACTACCTGCCCTGTGGCTTGCGATGACTATCCTTACAATACATATATGAGCTATCACTTACTCCTAGCCAAACCATGGTGGTATTAGATCATGCCTTGACAGATGGTAGGAATACAAAGTAAAATATTACTACATTCATACCGGTATAGAGCTTTTCATTCAAAAGCTATCATCTATTTTGCAAACTGACCCTAGAAGAGACCTCTCCAGCAGGGGTGGAATAGTTTTCTGAAAGACAAGATGGAGGAGCAAGCTCCTTCTGCCTGCAGAAATACCTGGCAGTGCAGTGATGAAGTCCCGCTGTAACATGGGTTTGAGGTATGAGTTTATATGTCCATGCTGGTAGTGACACATCTGGGAGATGAGGTGCTCCACAAACTCCACCTGGTCAGACTCGGACCACTGTTCAAAATACTTGACGCAGAGCTCCTTCTCCTTCTCATAGCTTGCAGACAGTTTTCTTTGCTTGGGCACAATCATACTGGAAGTGCCATTGGCAAGTTTTGTCTGTAAAGAGGAAGGAGAGAAACAACCCAAATCACACGTATGAAAAGAAGCTTAAATGGTTTTATAATTTTTTGGAGGGGAAGAAAATAGAAGGAAAAAAGCACTCTGATACATAAAGTTGGCTGAGCCCATGCATCCCATTTGGTGCTGTCAGCCGGCGTGCAGCCACCGCAAGCTGCAGCCCCTGCAGGACAATGTGCTGGCTCATGCCAGAGCTGCACACAAAGGACTCTGGTTAGACAGGAAACCTTGAGTGGCAATTATATTATTTACATCATGCAGACAGTAAAATAAATGCATTTGGATTCCTAATCTCCAGTTACTGGTTACTTCAATGCAGACAACAGAAAACTGCATTTTTATTCTGCTTTTTTCCTAAAGAACGGATTGCTGCTAAAATTCATAGGGAATGCATGAAATGGATGAGATAAAAACTTGATAGTACTTCTTTTGAGTATAAAAGTATACCTTGAGAGCAAAGCCAGCTAAAACACACCCTGATATTTGGCACATTCTTCTTTCACAAAATAAAAGATTTTCAACTTTCTAAGCACTGTTTATGTCTTGTCAGAAGCACTCAGCTCAAAGAAAAGTTTCAAGGACAAAACAAAACACTGACATTTCAATTTACTACTTGATAGCAAGATATAATTTCTGCTTTCTAAACGATTGAACTGGAAGAAGAGTGCACATTTTGCATTACAAGGATATCCTTTGTCCAAGTAAAATTAACTGTTTGCTGGGAAATAATTTTTTCCCATACTGGTCAAACAGTTTGTATTAAATGCTGAGAACATGTGATTTTCTCTCTTTCATTGCAATTTTTTAACACCAGACAGCATTATAATAACAGCAGATATTATTACATCATTTTTATTTACAAAATACATTTAGAGGTTCTCTATTAATTATCAAATCATTAAAAACAAATTACAGATATCAGAATATATAAAACATTGATGTAGGGATGTCATATTTCTGTTCTATGACGATAATTCCAGGCATCAAGCTCACCAGGAGACTTTATTAACTTTAAGTGAAAAAACAAGTACCTAAATCTCTCTGCAAAGATATCAAATGATCTAAAAGAAACGCATGGATTAACTGATTTTACAGGAAAAGGAAAAACAACAAAAAAGCCTTTTTGCAACAAGTGCCAAAACAGTGGGTTATTTAGCAACCATAAAATCTAGTTACCAAAACTGGGTTTGGAATGCAGGAATTTCTCAGGAGTAAATAATTCCTGTACTTCAATACCCCCACCAACCCTGACAGCAATCTTGACTTTGGAACACCAAAAAGCTCATAATTTGAAAATCTACCCAACTAATCACCATGTAAGCTTCATTTTCTAGAATATAAAAGCTAAACCTAAATACTCTTTTCAGCATTTCCAGCAGAGCTGGACAGACTTTCCTCTGGTAGAAAAAGACAGGAATTAGCTGCCATTTTTAACAAGCAGTGTCTTCTATCTCTGAATTATGGTTTGACTTCAGTTTTTTTGAGAACACAGACCATGGAGATCACACCATCAGTGCCCAATTCTGCAGCTCAATGTTTTCAACTTTAGTTTTATCCCCACTCCTCCCTGCCAATTTCTGTGTGTGTTCAGTAAGAACATGAAAGACAAGGGCTGTGACTGAGCTACACTTTCGTTTAGTCATCACACGGACAGCACAGACGGCAAGCGACTCATAGAGACGGTACTGGGCAGCAGGGTTGGAATGAAATACTCTCTCTTGGGCCAACTTTTTACCTAGAGAAATCTCTAAAGGGCCCATGGGCACGAAGTCCTAAGTGTGAAAGGCTGGACTTTTCCTAGCAAAGTCCACAGTAGGCAACAGCCTGGCAAAAAATGACTACCAATGGACTGCACTGAACATCGGTCTTACAGGATTCTGGTCATTTTTGCTGCAGTTAAGCTGCCTGCAAAACAGACACTCCTCTAAAAATGCTGGATTAAAACAGCGGAGAGATGTTGTACTCTACAAGCTTGATATAATTTTGTTGCTGTGCATCTCACAACAGGATGTCTCTACAAGGCATTTTTTAAAAACCTATCCCTCTGCCTTTTAATTTGAGAGATTGTGAAGTCTGACTAATATGTTGAGCTGGAGCAGAGTAGACAGCTGACGTGCAAAGACCTCAAAAGGGGCAACTCCTTTCATGGGGTGGCATGATGTTCTGGCCTTTCCTTGCCTCCTGAGCACCCTTCTCCCAGCAGCCTTCAGCTTCCCAGTTACCTCTAAAACATCGGTTTGGGGTATCAAACAGAAGTTGCTGTATCTGCAAAAACAAGTAATGGCTTATGTGTGTTCAAACAGATGGCTTAGATGGGACAAAACAAGCCATTCTGCTTGGATCCCAAGTGAATACAGGCCTCTTGGGTGAGAATAATGAGTAAATTAAAGAGTCCATTGACCAACACTTGTAACAGCTCTGGAAGTCAAACTCCAGGTTTATACAGTGCTTCTGCTAGGAACAGCACTATACATGTTACAGCGTTTAAGTCCAAATTAGTGGACAGGGGAACACTATACTTCTTAGGTTCAGGCACGTACTTTATCCACATTCTCACAATGTTAACTTGAGATCTGGTTTGTACTCTTGCCTGCTCTGGTTTCCCATCAAAAGGACTGAGGACAAGCCCAGAGTTAGCCATGGTGTGCCCAGCAGGTCCTGTGGTCTATGCAAGCAGGGGACCAGGAGGACAGGGCAAGCCACAAACACACCAAGTTCTACAGAGTAGAGACAGACAAACTCACAGGGCTCCCAAATCACTCAATTGCAATACATGCCCACGTGCCTCCCCCAGACCATCTGTAGCTACAGTTTAGAACAAAATTCTAGAATTTCAATTTGAAGATTCCTGAAAATCCACTGGGGGTTCAGTGAAAAAGGCCTGTTATTAAAAAAAGCCAACAACAAACCAACAACATCAAGCATCTGTATTATTAAGTGTTGGAGAGGGAGGGCAGATGCTATCAGTAGGAGAATCGATTTGGCTTCATGAGAAACCCTGATGACTCAGCCACTCTGACCAACTGCCTCAAGTTCACGACAAACCATCTCAGAACAGTATCAGCAACTATTTCCTGGGGCACAATTGTCTACAACCTCTTCCCTCTCCCGGTACAATAACCAGACCTCACCTGAAAAAGAAAGAACTGTCCCACGTGTCATTCACACTGCCAGGGTAAATATCCATCCAAATGCACTGTATACAGTCATGCTTTCTATCAGCTTCTATCACTTTGCCAAAAGTGGCAAAGAAGAAAAAGCACTGGTAGTCCATCACCTGGGAGGAAGTTCGAGTATAACAAAGCAAACTACTAACTCGAAACAGATAAAGCTTTTCTGACTCCTTTTTCACAACCCCCTGTAGGTGAGGGCTGAGAGGTCCCAGCTGGCTATAGGCACAACTCATCTGCAGGAGCAGTAGAGGTGTCCTCCTACATCAGTGTGCCTGAGCGAGTAAGCTGTGCCACGAAACCCAGGGGATTGAGTGCCTCAGGTTGGTACTAGCTCAGGGATCTACGTACTATGCTCCATTGCAGCCCATAATTACAAGACCATTTCTCCAAATGGCTACATTTAACACAAAGCACATTTGTATGCCCAGTGAAGTAGAAGAGGACTAATATATGAAGGGACTTTAATCTAAATAATGGCTTGCAACTATAGGAAGTTGCCATATTTCAACGCAGATAAATAAAGCCTGGATAAAACTACTGCTCTGCATATAAAACAAAACAGCCATGGTATGTCACAGCTGTAACCCATATAAGACAACCAAGGTTAGTTTTAGTTTTGTTCGGTACAGGGAACCAAGGAGCCTCCTAAAGCACAGAAAACAACACCACAAGCACAGTTCTCTGATTCTGCGTAGTGTTTCCCCACCCGTATGAGTGGTCACAACTTCTATGTATTTTTTATTAAAAAAACATGTCTCCAATCATTGCAGAGGACTTTGTTAAGGCACTTTCCAGAGAGTGGATGAATTCAGATTATGTGTTTCTTCAGGTAAGAAGACATTTCTTGAAGCCAAAGAAAAAAAGAAGCTGTCTCCTAGAATATCGAGAATGTCTTAAATGATCCCAGCAAGGTTTTGGGCCTTCTGAACCTTCTAGACATCTTCATGCTGGAGCTCTGAAATGACTGAGAGCTTATATCACCACTGCAAATTTCTCAGAGTTTCAATCTAGACAAAAGAAAGGGACTTCCCTTCGACATTCCAGTACCAACAGGTCATACTGGCCTTCTCCCCTCCTTCCCGGACCCCCAGGGCCTACAGGCTCTGATACAGAGAGATGTCTTCTACTGCTTATCTGCAACCGCAGCGTTTCACCTCCCGCTGCCTGCGCCACCAGTCATGGCTAAGTCACTGATCTAGACAGAGCCACCTTAACAGGAATTTTGGATAGGTCTTAGTGAAGGGGAGGAAAAAAGAGGACATAATGTTTAATTATAAGAAATGATTGAAATAGGCACAGACATACCCCGGGTGCCTCCGCACTGCAGCAAGCTCTAAACTTGTTATCGTTAATGGTTTAAATTTCACTGTGCTAATCATTTCAGGACACAAGCCTTTCTTGATAATCTAATGAATTATTCCAACATCCTTCAGCAAAAAAAATCCTCCATGACAGCACTAATTACAAGACGTTTTCCCAGTGCTTATGTAAAATATGACAGAGCAGCAGCTTAGGGAATTGCAGAAAACTGCTTCTAATTTCCACTGAGAAACTGACAAACACCTCTCTTTCATCTCTCCCAGCTCTCAAGTAAGATTTAACTTTCTCATTTAGTTAATTACCGAGTGAGGATCATCATTTTCCCGGATCGGAGCGGCACAGAGCCTTTATCGTGTTAACTTGTGAACTTGATCGATGGCTGCTGCTAAAACTTAATAACTTCACCCCCTGGCAAATTGTAAGATAAATATAATAGGAGAAACTCTGACAGTAAAAACCTGCCAGAAATGAGCGCTGTGTTTATGT